TATATTCTCTAGATAATCAGCTTACAGATGGCGGTAAGGTTGGCAGCCTTATGCGCCGGCCGCCCTTTACCACCAGGAAGATTCGTGGTACTCATTTCTGTTAGAGGCTGAGTCGACCTCGGGGCCATAGTGTGGCTGGAAGGATTAGGTCAACCGAAAAAAAAATTAACCTCATCGGGACCCGAACCCGCTACCTTCCGACTTGTAGCACAGTTCACTTCTCTAAGATGAGAACTCTAAAAACTGCACACCATTAACAGAACCACTGGCACGCCAAAACTGAAACGTTACACTCAATGTCGCTAGTGTTGTGGCCATTTCCGAATTTAGCACGATGTCCGTGTGTGTGTTGTTAGGAACCGCAACGATAGGAAGATGTTCATATGCTTTTCAATAGAACCCGGCAATCAGTGTCTGAGTCAGGGCACGGACGGACACAAGTAGATCGCTAACAGGATTTCAAACTAGGAATTATCGTAAAAATTTAAGTACATGTACATCACATGATATCTAAAAATACACACACGATTATGGGCGTGGGAAAAATTTAGAAACATATCTAACATCGAAAGTTGCAGGGTATGTAGCACGAATGGGGGAGAGAGGAATGCATATAGGATATTGGTGGGAAAGCTAGAAGGATAGAGACCACTGGGAAGACCAAGGCGTAGGTGGGTGAACAATATTAAAATGGAAATTAGAGAGATTGGATGGGATGGTATGGATTCGATTCAGGATAGGGACCAGTGAAGGGCTCTTGTGAACACGGTAATGAACCTTCGAGTTCCTTAAAATACTCGGAAATTCTTGAGTAGCTGCAAATTTGGCTTCCCCTCAAGAAGGGCTCAGCTCCATAGGTAAGTAAATCTATGCCTATAGGAATATATGCAGAAAGAAAAACTACAATATTATGGCATGAAGACCTGTTGCTAGGCAATCACTGAGTACCTATCACGTGAGCACCCCAACAGACAGGAAAGCAACAACTGCACAGCAACAGAGGAACGGTGATTTCTGTGCGATCCGTGCCGAGAAGTTAGAAGCAGGACAGGTTAGGAGTTAGTGTGTTGGTTAGTCGGTGAGTTAGTGAGAGGACTGCTGCGGTTCAGTCGTTAGGTTTTGCTATTAGAAGCCGGTAGCCGAGGCCGGGGAGCACTCAGGAACTCAGAGGAAGGCGAACGTCGACAACTGGAAGCCGCTGCCAAGCAACGGCAGTGAAGACGTGACTGTGGACATTAGAGTGTGTGTGTAATAGTAAACTGTAAAGTGTAGTCGCGCTGTATCAAACAGCCCAATAAATCCTATCATCAATCCAAGACACTCATACTACAGTCACTCATACACGTGGCAGTATTTTAGAAGATAATCAGAGCGGTTCAAGATAATTCTTGGACACGCAAGAATTAATAGCCTTCTTCACTGAAGAGTTTCATCTCCTCTCTGTCACATTTTGATTCGAGTCTTGGCTTCCTCCAGCGATACAGATTTTATAAATCATATTCGTAAAATTGGCGGCACTATATTCTAATTCAACACTACACTCAAACAAAACAGATAAAATCCATGTCCGAAGCGGGATTCGAAACCGCGATCACAACGTCTGGCCGGGTCCAGACCATGAGAACCTTTGATAAAACGGTCCTCAGGATCAAAGGACATCTCTGTACACCACTGGCTGTTCTGTTCTCATTTCAATTAGTGTCTGAAAGTGAAAGAGTCAAAGAGTGAAAGAAGAGTTCCCCGCCATCTTTCAGCTGTTAAAGCCAACCAGCACTTTTGTGGCTTTTTAACACGATAAATAGAAAGTTACCATAAAAACATACGAAGAGAAAACAGTTTCTATAAAAAAAAACATAAAAAGGGAGATAAAGGAGATCAGAGGGCCAAACTAGATCTCACATCCTTAAACCAAATTTACTCGAAACAACCTGTGAAGATCTAAAGGTATATTTAGTTTCCTACTACTTATATTTATCTTACACGGAAGAGAATCTTAAAAAAAAATCCAATTGAAAGTTGTTAAGTTTATTTCAAGTAATTTACCAATGTTCTATCAATTACATCTGATTTTCGACGTGCACAAAATGCTTGTATCCTATATGTATGGCTACGTTATAGGCCCACGTGGTCTTATAATAATCCAGATTTCGTCCTTCAAACAACTGTCTACCTTCCTGTACACAAGTCGACCTATGTGGTCGTAGTGTTGTCGCGAAGTAATTAAAACTGCGTACTGTCAATATGCAAAGGACTGCACACGTATAGAGAACGATTGTGATTCTTTCCGGAAGGAGAGAATGAAATACCTAGTAGTATCACGAGTCTATTGTAAGGGGCTTGCAAATCTTGCACACCCAAGATGATACCGTCTTTTGAAGCACATCAGAACCAAAAATGAGTCCGATACTATCCCTATCAAAATATGACATACGAAACGAGTAAATAACCAACTACGTAGATAGTCTTTCCTGACACTAATAGTTAATCAGCTGGTCAAGACATCCTTGCTTCTATAAAATCCAGAGGTTCATCACCGTGTTCATAAAATTCTGAAAATAAATCCTAAAAAAAATTTCAGTTGAAAATTGTTAAGTTTTCTCCAAGTAAATTACACCTGATCCTCGAACCTGCACAAAATTCTTGTGTCTTATATGTATGGCTACGTTATAGGCCTACGTATTGTTATAAAAATAACTCCGTGGCCTGTAGTCCACCAGCGAACTATACCGACCGAGCTATCGCCATTTGTCGGCGAAGTTAGTGCTACCTTTAGCAAATAGAAGGTGTCCGCGTGGTTAGCGCAACGAATCCCCACGGCCATTAATTTCGGTTTTCTAGACCGGAGCCTCTATTTCCTTGAAATAGCTCCTCAATTATCCTCATGAGGTTGAGTGGACCCCGTTCCAGACTCACTACTTCTCAGAAAATCTGGTAGCGCCGGGAATCGAACCAGGATCTCTGATCTGTAGACAGGAACTCTGACCAGTAGACCACAGAGGCGGTCGAAAGGCAATACATGTAGCGGAAATATTAGAAATAAGAAATTCATACATAATTTTGGTTAGAAAACTTCAAGGGAAGACCATCTGGAAGACCTACACACACTAGGCCTATACAATCATGTAACTGAAATGGATTTTGAATTTGTCGACTGGACTATAGTGACTTAGAGTGATGTTCTTTGGTGGGTTTCTATGACCACAGCAATGCACCTCTGGGTATCATTAACAGCTGAAAGAAGCAGTAACTGCTCAGGCAATAGGCAGTCAGAGTTGGTGCAGTAAGCAAAGGGCCACTCTTAAAACTCGGAAAGGGTTTCCTTGGTGTCTTTATCCTATACCAATGGTACTACACTTTTTAAAATATTGGAAATCAACTCAACTGTGAAACTGAGAAATATGCGCTGAGAAGGCTTTTTATTTTCTTCTCATACTTGCTCTTTCTTCCCCTAACCTTCCCTAATCTTTATCTCTTCTCTATTGTCTTGATGGTTTCCTTGGCTACTTCAAATTTAAAATTGCAAGTACTTTTTCTTTGTCTCTTTCTCTTTATCTTCTTACGCTGACAAATGAAAGCAGATGGTTTGCAGCGTACAGTCAACTAATGATAAAAGTAAACAGTGCATCACAAGCTACTGTTAGTGTTGTAATTATATTCCGCTATCACAACACAGCTGAAAAATACACAATGTTCGGCTGGCGTGTTTTTAATTGTAGACACACATTCCTCTATATATTCATTTGTTAGAGACACAAACCTTTCGACACGGACAAAAATCGTTACAGATAAACTATGCAAATAGTCATAATGTTGTTGAAGAAGACTATAAAAAGTGCATACAATACACTGCACTGATGCGTGAATTATTTCACTTATAACCTATTCCATATAAGCTATAGAGACAGGCGTCAACAGATGCTGACTCAGTATGCGAGTCAGAGAAAAATTCCATTTCTCCCCATGAGAAACAGCACCTACCCAGGCCATTGTAATTCATCTCCAACAGGCAGTCTACTTAGTCACATAGTATCCATCCACCCACCTACCTACCTACCTACCCACCTACCTACCCACCTACCCACTTAAGTAAGATAACTCAGGCTGCGCCATACCTCAAGCGACTAGTCGCTGGCTTCCCACAACGGGGGCCCGGGTTCGATCCCGGGTCTGGTCAAGTGGGATTTGTGGTGGACAAAGTGGCGCTGGGGCAGGTTTTCTCCTAGTACTTCGGTTTCCCCTGCCAATCTTCATTCCGCCAATTGCTCCACAATCACCCTCACCTATCATCTGGTGCTGGTACAATAGGCCAGAAGTGGCCGAAGAACAAGGGACTTAGTCCCACCCCACTAGCAATAAATAAATAAAAAAATATAACTTACTTACTTACGGGGCTGAGTCTTCCTGAGGAGAAGCCAAAAATGCAGCTACTCAAGAATTTCCAAGAATTTTATGGAACCCAAAGATTCATTACAGTGTTCACAAGAGCCAGATCAATCGAATCCATACCATCCCATCCTATCTCTCTAAGATCCATTTTAATATTGCCCATCCACCTACGCCTTGGTCTTCCCAGTGGTCTCTTTCCTTCTGGCTTTCCCACCAATATCCTATATGCATTCCTCTTCTCCCCCATTCCTGCTACATGCCCTGTCCACCTCATCCTCCTTCACTTGATCATTCTAATTATACTTGGAGAAGAGTACAAATTATGACGTTCCTCATTATACAGTTTTCTCCAACCTCCCGTCACTTCAACCCTTTTCGATTCAAATACTCTCCTCAACACCCTGTTCTCAAACACCTTCAGCCTATGTTACTCTCTTAATGTCAGAGACAAAGTTTCACACCCATACAGAACTCTAGTTCAGAACAGCCGCGTTAAACCACTTGATTTCTTGTTCGCTAGATGCATGAGTTGTCTGTTGATATCTATAACTACCGAATGATTGCTAGGAAGAAACATAAATTAAGGCCAAAGCGGCATGTGTTAGCAGACTTACCAGGCTGACAGATCCAAGTGCTCATATTCTGATCCCGGGTCACCGTGATGTCGTGGTCAACAGAGTAGAAGTTACTCAAGGTGTCCCATTCTGACTCCGTTACCACCACGAACTTGTTGCTGCAACAGACGACACCCTGTAATTAGGACACCTGACACTTAACGGTTACTCAATGGGTCTTCTCCGCCCCAATTAACAGCCGCTAGTCTGTTAAGAATTCGACATGAAAATCTGAGAGTTTCCTTCTCCAGAAGGACACTTAATCATGATGTAATTTCGGTGAAGTTCGGGACTGCAATATCGACTGAAGCATAGGTACTTCACGCTAATTTGTTTAACGCTGTCATCTGCTAGTGCTGTTCTTAACAACGACCCAAGAATAGTATTCCTGTGTAACACACATGTATAGTCTATCATAAGCCTACAAATTCAGTTCCTATCGCACAGACACCACACTGCGTCTTCACTATATAGGCCAACCGGCTTATGTTGTTAGGAAATTGATCGTTGTTTATTGTAAGAATCATATGAAACACATAAATACATTGTGGGCAGAAAGGATAATTTTTTTCATTTTAAATCAGGCGGTACATACAGTTATGGGGAAGGCGCGAGCGTAGTTTCGCTTAATGGCGGATGGAGTCCAACTGGGTCCACTCGGCACGACGGCCACTGATTGGCTTATTGTACCTGCCTCCCGGTGATTATGATGATTGAGAATTTAGGGGAAACCGAAGTACTCTGAGAACACCCGCCTCAGCGCCACTTTGTCCACCACAAATCCCATTTGACCAGTCCCGGGATCGAACTCGGGCCACCGCGGTGGAAAGCCAGGTCTAACCTGGTGCTGCCCCGGTAGCGTAATTGATTGAGGCACTATGCTACAAGCCGGAAGGTCGCGCCTTCGAGTACCTATGAGGTGAATTTTTTCAATTTACCTAATCCTTCCAGCCGCACTACGACACCGGGGGTCGACTCAGCCTCTAATAGAAATGAGTACCAGGAATCTTGCTGGGGGGTAAAGAGCGGCCGGCACGTAAGGCTAACAACCTTACCGGAATCGGTGAGCCGATTGTCTAAGAGAAAATGAGGGAGCTTCTACGTCTCACAACCCTATGGGCCTCGACGGCCTGTTACAGGGATAGCTTTACCTTTGCCTTGTCTATAGCTATGAATGTGCAATACGGATGTACGTATAAAATATACCAAAACATTTTATGTAAAGGTTTACATCGCTTTATAATATATATTTTAGGTCATTACTAAATATTTGTATGGCAAGCCATTTCGGAAATACTTATTAAGTTTAATTGAAGAATCCACTGCAAAAATGGGGCCATTCTGGTTCTACGAGTAGTTCTGGACAAAAAAAAAATGCCATGCCGAGCTGCGGTTTTAACTTCATTTGAATTTTTGAATGGGCTTTTCATTGATTTTCAAAATTATATTAAAATGGAACCACGTACTGTTTCCACTGTATACTTCAATTTGGCCGCGCCATAGCTCAAGCGGTTAGTCACTGGCTTCCCACCGCGGTGGCCCGGGTTCGATCCCGGGTCTGGTCAAGTGGGATTTGTGGTGGACAAAGTGGCGCTGGGGCGGGTTTTCTCCGAGTACTTCGGTTTCCCCTGTCAATCTTCATTCCACCAATTGCTCCACAATCACCCTCACTTATCATCTGGGGCTGGTACAACAGGCCAGAAGTGGCCGCAGTACAAGGGAGTTAGTCCCACCCCACTAGCAATAAAAAATATATATACTTCAATTTTATTTTCGTGTATAGTACAGGTTATAACAGACGGCTACGGACAAAACCAAACTCATCTAAATCAGCATCGGGGACGGCACATGCGGACGCCCAGACACCTCCTACTGATGGTTTCATTTGAAGCCTCCCATGCATAAAACGCATATAAAGGCAAAGACCTATGCTTTTAACAATTTCGCTACCAATATTATAACATGGCTTGTTGAAAGTTCAGAAATTACCTATTGAAACACGTTCAACTGAAACAGGCGCATGTATCGTAGATTCAACTGATGTGGGTTGGAGTTAACTCCCTTTCGGGTTATAATTCCAGACGCCGGTCACGGTAGCCGAGCCGTCTAAAGCATGCGATATCTTCCCTCGCTCGGAAGCCGGGATCGTGGGTTCGAATCCCACATAAGGCATGGATGTTCGGTGTGTGTATATATTTATTCTGTGTTTAGGTAGAGGCCTTGCGACGAGCTGATCACCCGTCCAAGGAGTCCTACCTTCTGTAAAAATGTTCAATGAAACTGAGAAATCAGCCCTATGCTCCAAATTTGGAGTGAAGAAGAAGGAAACAAATTATAATAAAAGAAACTCAACAGACAGACGCTGAGATGTGTGTACAAAATCAGAAGACGGGCAGTACGAAAGGGATCACACTCAAGAATGGTCAAGGACACTTTTTTTAAGGATCATTCTTATTATTTTTCAGACCTTGCAGAGAGTACATCAAGAAACTAAGTTGATCATCAGATTTAACCACCACCACGAGTCAACGAGCTTGTTCGTCGTTAGGAAATGAGAGAGAGAGAGAGCTGTACGTCCAACCACTTCTGCAATGCAACCAATAATGGCCTACTGCATACAATTCAAAATATATATGTGTATAATGGGGGCAGTCTACACAACAATATTCGTGAAAAACGAAACAGCCACTATTGTATCAACATTTGTTTTATTTTGCTGTTGACGCTACATGTTTCGGCCCTCATATTGGGCCCTCATCAGGCGTACAATGATACTAGTTCCAGTTCTTGAATTGCATCTAATTTCAATATGGATCCATATTGTGTTCTTGTGATCTGATACAATAGTGTCTATTTTGTTTTTCACGAATACTGTTGTGTAGAGTGCCCCATTATACACACAACGAGATGCATACTATTAAGAATAAAATGCAAGATTTAACAGTGTATATGTACAATTGAACTGTATATTCCAAGAAGTTTAACTATAGGTAAGTAGAATACACTTCTCTTCATATTAAGATTCAAATCATCCAAGAATTAAAATAAAATAAAGCTTCAACTAACGGAACTAATTGAGTTTACAAAGTGTGTTAGGGATATTGTTATGTTATTGAGTTTTTGTGTTAATGTCGATTGAATGCTGCGTGTGCGCGCGCACGCGCGTACATGTTTGCGGCAATATGGTGGTCAACGTGTTAAAAGCAGCATCAGTACCACAGATGGGGGCTAACAACTCCAGCCCCTGTTATGCTAACACTAATCGTCTATTAATTGCCATGATATGACGAGCCTGCGTTTCAATGGACTTCTGCAGAAGCCTGACATAAGCACCCTCCAAGCAAAAGTGGCCTAGAGCCCGCCGTACGGATACACGTATAACCCAATGCTAACGAGAAGCATGTATGTTAACTGATTCTTGGGTTATTAAAGGACGCCGATTCTGAAAAGGGTTGAATGAGTTGTGTATAAAAACACGGAACGAGAGTTATGGCTTACTTCCAGGTATACGGTTACATCAAATGAGGAAACGCATGAAACCTCAAGGGACAGGCGGTAGTAGGCGAGAGGTTCGAATTGATTTCTCCCGAATGCAAGTGTACAGTGGTACAGATATAACAGTGTTCTTAGCAACTTGTGTTTTGCGAACGCGTGATTTATTAATCCTTGGATTAATTATCGGTACTGTTTCAACTACAGAAGTTATAGCCCGACGGAAATTTCGCCTGAGCTACTGACGAACGGGATGTAAATTAGATTAGGTATCTAACACATCTAATGTACTTAAGTTGGGACAGACTATGCAAGAAATCACTTCTAGAAGAGCTGCCCACCTTTAAACCACTGACGGGCTGTATTACACCTTACATACATATTTTCGAGTGGCATTGTACTATTGATATGCGTTATGCTGTCAGTGACCGCCTCTGTGGTCCAGTGGTCAGAGTTCCTGGTTGCAGATCCAGAGGTCCGGGTTCGATTTCCTGCTCTACCAGATATTCTGAGAAGTAGTCGGTCTGGAACGGGGTGCACTCAGCCTCGTGAGGATAATTGAGGAGCTATTTCAAGGAAATAGCGGCTCCGGTCTAGAAAACCGAAATTAACGGCCGTGGGGATTCGTTGCGCTGACCACGTGACACCCTCTATCCGCTAAAGTTGGCACTAACTTCGCCGACAAGCGGCAGTCGCTCAATCGGTATAGTTCGATTGCGGACTAAAACCACGGAGTTTGTTATGCTGTCAGTATCTGGACTTCAAGTCATAAAGCTGGGTGATAGAATGAATGAATTAGAAAGAATTTGGAAGGACGTGGTCGTGGCCTAATCTAGGTAACAACCTGGCATTAGCCTTGAGGGGTATTCAGGAGAGCCGGTATATCTGACTAGAATCAAACCGAACACTTTCCGCACACAAGTCTAGACCGTTACTGATATGGGTACCCGCTTCGTGGGCCTCAGTGTAGAAAAACAGGATTCTTACAATATCCTGACACAGATATGTTCCCTGCAATTTTCAGACTATGAGGCAGAAGCACATAAATAAGGATTAAACCCATAAGGTAAAGAAACATTTATTTAAATTTAAAATGTTACCAAAAAACTTGAAAAATTCAATATTTTTTTTTTTTTAGAAAACAGAGAGAACGCCCACTCAGAACTGTTATCAATGTGAGTACTGCCGATGAACGGTCTCATCTACTTGAGTAAATAATTTCACTCATTCATTCATTCATTCGCCCCCGTACCAAATTTTATCCAAGTTCATTCAGAACTTATTCACGACCCACAGGACCAAAGCTCCACTCAATTCTTACGTTCAGACTGGCGCAGCTCCGGTTGATGAACAAGGACCTAACTCAAATTAAAACAAAATATGCTGAAGACATACAAAACCTATTGCTGCAAAGTTACTCAACAACGGAGATATCCCTGCCAGAACCGTATCGTCTGTGGCTGGCACAATTCGTGCCCAGCCCAGTCATGTGGCTTGAGGCATACAGCATTTTCTTCGACAGGTATTTCATCAGAAAAAAAAAGAACTGTTTGAAATATGAAGTCGTAATATCAATAAAATCCATACCGTATGCCACGTTTCCATTCTATTTGTATGGTGCTTATTT